CAAGAACTCAGACTACAATGACACCAATCTCAGTGTACGAGAGAACCAGAGAACTACCTTTGATGTAAGGTTGCTCATCTCTCACCTGTTAAGCTGTGTGGTGAATACACCGACAACCGTGGGGACTCCATTGATTTCTATTATATCTGTGATAGACTGCAGAACATCAAAGTAGAAGAATGAATCCCCAGGAACTGAGCAGTTGAGCCGAGCTTTCAGAAAGGATGTCCAATGTTTTTCCAGGACTCTTTGGGACCCCCCCATGTCATTTTTGCATATGCGTGCCACACGGGAATACACAGCCTGTTAAGGGCAAAAAAAAAAAAGGCTTGAGAGATGCAAAGAAAACAGTGCTTGTTATTGAGCTGTTAATGAAACACCAAAGATAATTTTGTTAACAGGAAGCTGCCATTTATCTGCACAGAAAGGATGAAAGCAAACGGTATTTAGCTCACAGTGCACAGGCATCTTAATGTATCACCAAGCACATGCAACTCTGCAGCTTGTCCCCACCCTTTTTTCCCTTAAATCTCACTAACAATATGATTTTGAAGGACTTTAATTAACCATGTATAAAGGATTTAATAATTTATTATAGAATATCCTTCCATGGTGAGGCATGAGCATTATACTCTGTACTGGCATGACTGAATTATTCAATATCCAGGGACATTAGAGAAACTTCTTTGAAACTTTTCTTTTGTGTTGTTTCCTTTTGTTTCTTTAATAAGCATGAAAATACCCTCAGATTTTCCATGACTTGCCACAAGTGTTAAGGCAACAGCAACACTAAAAGATACCTGTAGCGAGCTCGCCTAACAGCAGGGCATAGAGAACACAATCAACTTTTTGGTTGAAGAATGCACTGTTCTATTTCTCTCCCTCCCCATCCCATAAATTATAATGATGGGAAAATTGTACAAACTTTGTAATAGTCTCCACTTCACATTGCAAACTGTGCTTGTTACTGATGCTGTTTTAGGATGATCTCATTCTGTTACAACTTATGGCTAAGTGACAGCTCGCTATGGCGATACCTACCTTGCCTAAATTATTGTGCTCTACAGCAATTTCTCGGAAGAAGAAATAAACATAGTTCCCATATTCTATGGCATGGAGGAAGTGTGGTTCTGTAAGAAAGAGCAAGGAGAAGGTTACTTCAAAGAACTACTCAATTGGTGTACGACAATTTCTACACTGTGTGACTTGGCTGCTTCTCCACAGGTCCGTATACCAGCTAATGGGAGCTCCAGCCTTCCAGATACTTCAGGAGGTCCGAGTATGGGTGCACTGGAGCTTAAATGAACTCGAAGTCTTTAATATTGGCTAATGGACTGTAAAAAGGCCTCACAGGAATCGCATTTCAGCTAAGGTATTTTGTTACTGCCGATTCATTCATTGATGTATACAACACAAATTTTGCTTTATTGGTATTAAACTGCTTTTTTTATTGTAGTCATACTGTATTGAAAGCAGTACGTACGCTGACATTGTAGCATATGTGTGCGTAGCTGGCTGTGAATTACCTGACCCTCTGTACCACTGAAATTACATTTGCCATGTGTGTGGGAAAATATTTCCCCAGATTACCTTTTATCCATTTGGAATCATACTTTATTGTTCTTAGGGCAGATCCATCCCCCATGCTGCGATAAATAACAGCATCACTTGCCAGGAAATCTGCTACTGTTGCCGAATACAATTTTCCATCTAAAACGGAAGTTGAAAACGTGGTATTAAGAGGCCTTTAATAATCTACAGAATTCTGATTAGCTGGCATTTCTCCCCTTTTCTTTACTGCCACTCTTTCCCAAATTGCTGTAACCTATTTATTAACAGGTCAGCTTTTAATCCTTTGGAGGCCCTTTAAAAAATTTAAGAGCAGGGGCACCATGACACCTTTAGCTTTCCTGTGCTTGCTTTAAAAGCTCTCTGGCTCCTTTGGTGTCATTAATCATTTAGACTCATTACAAGCAAAAGTTCTTACCAGCAAAGAGGGCGACATTGGTTTGTCTGGCATCAAATGGGCATCTTGCCAAACCACTAATTTCCTCCCCGTCATACTCTAAGGTATTCAGCTGGAGAAGAAAAAGAAACGGGTGATAGTGTCATTTCTATTTTGTACACTGGCACAAAAGCATCACATTGTCTTTCCAGAAATCTTAATTCAGCACATTGGCTTCTGTCTGGTTTTATTTCACCTTGAAGCACTCTCCAATCACACTGGATGTATTTGCTATAGCATAATTAGTGCAAGCAAAACCAGTGACAGATTAATGACATTTTCAATATTCTTACCCGATAGTATCTGCACATAGGATTAAATGCATTTGTTCCACAGACAAACACCATCTCATCATTTCTTGGAACGAAGACTTTAATGAAGTTATGGCATTCATCCTGAAAAGAGAGTAAGATGTATTAAACACAGACTTCACATATATAATAAATATTAGTGTTGTTTTTTATGATGTATGTGCTAAACTTACTTTATGTTTGCCTTTCATAGCACAGTTCTCTCTGTCCTGCTGCCTTGATCTCCATGTTAATTTCTGTTAAATCAAACCAGAAAAGAACATTTAATTTCCTTTCCACAAAAAAGTCTTAAAAAAATTAAAACCAAAGAAAATAACTCTCCCTTGCCAGCTCCCGTATCTACTCACCTTACTTGGTGTAACTTCCGATTTTGGAACTTCATTTAAGTTTACAGTGTAAACTTGGTCCCTGTTTGCAAAGAGTAAAAAGACATAAGTAAATTCATTCATTCATTTGCCTTATTTTTGATATGCTAAATCTATTTTTAGAGTGTCAGACCAGAAACTTCTATGAAATGCTTATGGATTTTCTGTGTTTGATACAAATCAAAGACGGTTGGTCATGGCCAACATGGGGTAGTTTTGATTTTTATTGGTGTGATCCTCAGACAGCACCTACAGTAGCCAGCTATCCAGCTCTGTCTTTCCAGTCTGCTGAAGACTAATCCCGACTGTAAATATTCAAGTGTGTTATCCTCACTTCCTACATCCCTGATGTGTCAGTCCAAGTTTAAAATGATCAGGAAAGGTTTTTATCAGGGCAGTAATATAAAAGAAGGAAGAGAGTATTTGATCATTGGCTTTAGCATAACTGCAGTAACTGCAGCCTTCAAATCCAATTTTCATGCACTGGCCATAGATATGGTATATTTCTCTGGGAAGTCCTCCCCCAATTCTCATTTTTATCATATTCTGCAGATTTTTCTAAATGAATTTTACACATTAATGCAAAACCAGAAGAGAAAAGAATTTTAATCTAATGAACTGAGTGAAGGAAAATTACCTGCCAGCGATATAAAGTGTGTCTCGAATTTTCAACATCAGTTGGAAGTCCAGTCTGTGCTGAGATTCATTGCCTGAAGGGCGTCCTCTAAATACTGGATATTGCCTTGAATCTGCAAGTAAAAATGGGCTACACCATCACTCAGGATTATAGAGCTAAAGAATCAATATATGGCATTGATTAGCTGTATATACTAGGTGTAGAAGGGTTTAAACTAAATTCCTTGAGTAATGTCTTGAATATAAATGAGAAAAAGATGGCTAATGTCAGCAAATGTTCTTTTTCCTGAAGTTATTGCTGTATTTCTGATTGCTTTTTTAAGAAAATGATTAAGTGTTCTATTAAAGATACAAAGCCAGTAAACACATTTCAATTTGAAAGAAAACAGACTTTTTTTTTTTAACTTCCCAAGGAAAAAAAAAAAACCACATTAAAACTTTTCCCCTAGTGGTTAGCACCATTTGCAGATTACTTACAGTGGTAGTCAACAACGTTAATAGGGTCCTCATCTTCAGGGAAGCTGACAGCCCGGCACTGGGACAGACTCATTAGCATCACGGAGGCACAAAGCAGAGGAAGCCTCATGGCTGGTAAAAGATGAGTACTACCTTTGTGGCAACACTGTTTAACTACCTGGAAAACAGGAACACACCAGTGAGATTTCAGCAACACAGGAGAGTAAACACGACTTCCTACTGCAGGAGAAGGGGCTTTTTCATTTGTATTTTAGCACGGGCAGCAGTGGACTAAATCGGTGCTTATGAAAGGCTCCTGTATGTACAATGATGGAAACCGCTGCGTGACATATCCCTGCTCAAAGCTGCTCCAAAACATATTGATGTTTGCTAATTTTTAGCTGGATTTACAGGCCTTTCCAAAGAAGCTGACGACTGTCAGCCCATTTAATTCACGGGAATCAGAAACAGAACATGCAGGCTGCTGACCTGGCAAGAAAAATTGTCAAAGTTGGGATTAGAATTTTAATTAAACTGCAATCTCTTTCCATCCCTTCTATCACTGAATGCCATCCAATAAAACCCTTTCCCCATAAAAATACCTAAATCCTATCCACAAAAAGTCACGACACACACAATCTGTCTGAACGTCCACGCCATGTTTTAAAATTATTGCTTGTTTTCCAGGCTGTGCCATCATAATACTAAGCCTAACATGATCACTGTGAAAGACCTTATTATGTCTAGGACCAGACACTTGATGCTTTGCCTTGTGCAGTGATTTACACACGTGCAAAGTAAATACAAAAATGCTGCCTCAGCAGCGTGAGTGCTTGTCACACGCTTTCCAAGGGTGGCAAGAGCCTCAAAGGGGGCACAACGCTGAACTGGGTTCCCAAGATGCCACTTGCCCCCTAGTTCTATTTGTTACTGTAGAAAGCTAGCAACCTCAGAGAGACTCTCACAGTGGGGATTTTGTGTGTGTGTGCTCTATAGATCATACAGCACATACTGTGATAGCACCACAACATTATACAACAAAGCTTTTAAGAGGGAAAGGGAAACATAGCTTCTCCAATTAAACTGCAGGGATATTTTAGCGAGCAGAATGTAACTACTCAAGTTGCAATTTGGGTAGGATGCAAGAAAACGCATCTCAAAGTGAAATGCAATCCTTAATGACCACAAGTGGTCTGGGCAGGGGTCATATTTCTCATTAGAAACCTGGCAAACATAGTACTATTCCCTCCTCCAACCTTTTGGAGGCATTCATTCAGCCACGATTCACAGGTCAGAGCTCTGAGTCACCAGCTCAATGCCTTACAGTTGCTGAAATCGGTTATTAAGCTCTTTGTCTAACAGAAAAAAAGAAACCTTTCCATTTTAACGTTTCAAGAATTGCTGTGAGATGTACATGTTGCCAGCACAAAGTGCCAGGCCTGAGCCAGCAAAGCACATAAGTATTAATCATTTAATAATTTGAAAAGCAATTAAAAAGCCCCTTCATAACAACACTTAACCTTTCAGTAATCTTCACTGGGGACGAAAATACTGTATTTGTTAATTGATACTAGAGCTGGCTAGGGGCTGGGCTTCTTCCTTCCACAAGGCTGAGCTCTCTCAGTTCAGGCTGGACTGTGAGGAGACCAACTTAAAAGGTGATAGTATTTGGTGATGGGGTGGGGGTGTTGTCTGAATGCCTGTCCATTATGGACTGACCTGAAAAGAAGCATTTTCCACTGTTAATGATATTTCTGTATCTCAGTCCACCAGTCCAGAACGAATGGGCTGTGCTCTTAGGCAAGATTGATGAGTGCAGTGGTTAATAAACACTAATGATTCCTGGCACTTTCCCTCTGCTCTTCCTTGTCCTGACATGGCCTCTTCAGCTGAAGCATCTTGCGTTAAATTACTAATGAGCAAACTTAAAACAAACTGGAATTAATAAAGTTAGTCAAATTAGTTCTTTCTTGTGAAAGCACCATTAGAGCAAAGTCCTGCAGCACAGTGGCTCCCAGACACAATAACAAATCATTAATGGCTACACAATCCTTTTTTCTAGTCTTTCTTTTCCAGAAGAGCAGGCTCCAAATATCCAACCCACTGCTGTCCCAGTGAAGGAAGAGAAAGGGGAGGCACATAAACCGTACGTTGAGTCAGTGCACAGCAACACCTGTAAGGTGCTTAATAAAAGTCCTCCCTGAAGCCTCGTTTTCTTGGAGAACAAATGAATACAAATTGCCAAAGACCAAGAAGCTCTAGCAGCCATGCAGGATTTGGTTAGCACAGAAGATGAGGCTGTTTATGGCCCACACATCATGACTCAAAGAGACCCTGCCCTGGCTGCAGAACGTGCACAGCCTGCAAACTCCACGAGTTCTGCCAGTGTCAAGCACAGGCATGTATTAGGAAGTTTCTTTTTTTCCTCTCTTTTCTTCCAGCATCCCGCCTAGGAAGAAGTCACTGGGGCAACAAATACGTAACTTAAATGTAACCTGCCTTACAAAAGCAGGTACTGTCTTCTGGACTTGAGGAAACGGCTGCAGAGAACGAATGGGCAATTTGCTGCACATTGGCCACAACAATTGTGACCTAAAACCAAACTGTCACAAAACCAAAAAGGAAATGACCAAAATGCCTGGTAAACACAGAGAGTATCAGCTCTCTCAATTAGATTCAGATTTCTGGGTGTATATCATACTCTCGAAACAAGGCAAAGTTTTGTAAATGTAAAACCACAGGATGCGTCTCCGTAGAGACTGCATCCAGACCAGAAACAAACTCACATTTGTCTTCCTCAAAAAAACCCCAAACCTCTGAGTATACTCCAGAGATGAACTCCGAGAATGTAAAAGGTGGTAATAGTTATGTTCAGCAGTCTCTTTTAACTAAACATCACCTGTCACCAGTGTCTATCAAAGAAAATGTCTACATCTGCATGAAGCACAGACCTTGGTCATGACAAGAGAGAAAAGCAGACTGAGAGCTGGACTGGATCAGCAAACCGCAGGTAATCACTTCCTACCAGCCAGGTAAGAAGTACAAATTTCTTTTTTTTTTTTTACTTGTTAAAAATAGTACAAGAAAATGAACAGTAGCTCTGATTTCTAGCTACATATGAAAAGAAAATGCACCTGCTTTAAGAGGCACTTAAATGCACCTTTTAGCTGGTTGGACACAGGCTTGAGATCAGAACCACTGAGAAGAGAATAAACTTGGAAGAACAGCTGTTCCCTGAATAATCAGAAAAATGGCTTCCATCTAGCTCTTGGACCAGGGGGTTATGACAGCCAGGTGTATGCTTCTGGTAGACACAGATAGGCTGGTGTGAAAGACATAATTCTTGCCACATTCAAACCTTTTAACGGAGGCCACTACTGAGGACAACAAATAATAATGCTGAAGTATCTGTTTGGACCAGAATAGCTGATTATGAAATGCTGGCAATGTCTACTTTCAAGAAAATACAGAAAACAATCATGCTCTGGGTCTGATTATTTTTCCCCAGCCACAATTGAGACTAGTCTTTGATTAATTTCTCTTATAAATTGCATTCCTAGCATTTCTGCTAGGAAACAATTCAGGGCAAGTGCAATGTTTGGAAATTACCATATTGCTATCCCTGTTTTGCAGCTGGGGAATTGAGGCACAGATCAAGGCTGAATTTGCGACAAGACCAACCACCAAAAAGGCCTTTGCAAAGGATCTGAGCTGCTCTAGGTCATACGTGCTCATTCCTTGCAGCACAGGCAAATTGGCCAGTGTCACCCAGGTGGAAAAGCCAGTAACAGATCAGAGATCTTCTGGCCATTCGGTCTATGCCGTAACTCGTTGTATCTGCAAATCCAAAGAAAAAGAGGTATAAATGTTAACTGGTGGCACAAATTCACAGCGGTAAAGAGGAGAGCAGGCTGACTGAAACAGGCCTCCGGGCGGGTGCTGTTGGTCAAGTGGAAGGCACGCAGTTGTCCCAAGTAATAAACTGGCTCTTTGTGGTTGGCATCTTTCAATCTCAGATACAAACCCCATCCTTCAATTCCTGATTGGGGGAATCCAGAGAAGCAGGATATCATTTCTGTTAAAATATGAGCCCTCCTTCAAACAATCACACATGAAGGGGAACAGGCTGGTGTTTCTTGCCCATTAATCTACTCCAGCCTTTGACAACGCACTGGTGACACTCCATCAATCATCTTTCCGTGCGCTGCCATGTAAAATAGGAGGGGGAAGGGAAAGGGCATTCAGCCAGCTGGAGAGAAGCAACACATAAAATAGCTCCAAACCAGACTGATGCAATATCCCCTATGCACAAAAAAAAAAAAAAAAAAAAAAAAAAATTCTTAAGAATCTCCTTAACACATAAATGCTTCTCAAAACGCTAAACAGACAGCAATGTGGTATGGCAAATTCAGGCTGAAGTTCAAGATAGGTCAGAACAAGAGATACATCCTAAAAGTTAGTTCACTTGTGGAGAGTTTGGTGAGCCAAAGGAGAAAGAATTGCAATAATAAAAGCTGAAAAACAGGCACGTAACATGAAAAGGCTTAAATGACTACATCATCTTCCTTCTCCACCAGGCAGAGGGCAAAATCAGGCTGTTAGGTGAGATCAAGGATCTCCTCTGTGCTTGGAGGTATGCATTAACCATAATGCTGAGGGGAGACAGGCAGAATTGATTAATAATATGCTGATCTTAGTCAATTTATGTGAAGTGGTTTCCCACAGTCCCAAATGCCTGGACTTTGACAGATCAGGAAATCCCTGCTGTCCCCTGTTCCTTCCTGCATGCAAATGGCTCCCTAAAGGCACTAATTAGTGCAAATGTACTAAACTAGTGCATTTTTGAGATGTTACCTTCTGAAATTTTGAACATGAAACCACTCTAATAATAAAAGTTAAAACAAAACAAAAAAATCCATTACTGCTGCTTGTTCACAGATGCTCAAGAAGTTTTTCGAGGCCTACAGCCGAGGCTTCAGTTCCTCTTTCTGATGGAGAGCAAAGCAGATCCTGTGCAACACTCGGCAGCTTCCACTCATCTCAGCCTTTGAGACAGCCCCTGGTGAGGGTTGCAGTGCATCCTTGGACAGTGGCTTCAGGGCACTGAACAGCTGGCCAAATCAGCACTTC